CAAGAGTTTGGCGGATCTCATCGGCCCACCTGATGTAGCTTTGACCAAATGTATCTGGTCGAAGAACAGCCATCCTGTATATAGTCGCTGCCATTAGGGAGCTGCCAGAAATCTCTCCAAATCCTCCATTCCACTGGTCTAGATCGTTGAGATAATTGCGAAGCAGTTTTCCGTCTTGAGGCGCTTTGACTACGGCGTCAACGATTTGCTTGATATATAGGCTGAGCTGGTCTGCGGCTTGGTTCTTCCAGGTGCTTTGAAGCCAATCCAATTTCATAACAGTGGCGAGAACGCGGGTCATACCAGCAGCTGCCCATGCGTTCCCCGTCGACCATAGGCCAAGGTCTTGGTTTTGTGGGCCGATAATATGATGCCAAGCACCATTCCACTGGTCATTGCTTTTCGACTGAAGGACGTCGCGATATAGTCCACACTGCTTCACGGCTTCACGAAGCAATGTCTCGTTGGTCTTGTCGGCAGCGTAATAAGCGAAGAATGGAGGGACCATGTACATGAAATCGGCCCTGGGAACGAAAGAGTAAGGAGAGGCCATTCAAGCAATCGCACAATCGTACTCACCACAGCTCAGCCACGTCGGCCCGATGGGAGATAGCACCATTTGCGAAGCGGGGGGTATCTTTCAGAAGTGCAGTGACTGTCTCTTCAGCCGCGGTGGCGAATGTTGGCAAAGATTTTCCTAGTAACACCGCACCAACACCCATACTTGCAGGATCGCCAGCCGCTCCGTCTCCCTTGGCCAACGAGGTGTAACCAGTACCCAAGACCACCTTTGGTTGCAGATAGTTGAGAGCTTTGATGTCGTTTTTCGCGAACGAAGGCACCGGAAAGGGGGTTTCCCCAAAGACTGATATTTCTGGATTATAAATTTCAATTAAAGCCTCGGCGAATGTCCCGTATTCCCAAGAGTGCGATGGAAGGCTCTGTGTAACCTTGAGAATGCTTTGAATGTCGAAGCCAGGATCGAATGGAAATGTTTGATAGTCAGTCACTGCGGCAGCGATTGTGCTCACTACAGAGATGTTCACCATAGTAAGCGAGGTATGTTCGTCGAGACGAGCGCTGAGGCCACCTCAAGTCAAGTCTGGTTAAATGAGCGTGAAGAAAGAGCGTAATGGGCCGAGGGCTGAAGACAGCTCTGTCAAGATCGGAGTCCACATGCCAAAGTATGGCCGGCTTAAGTACAAAACTAGGCAACAACCAAAGCGAGGGCGCCGATGATGGTAGATAACGTTTCACTGGTATTGAGAATGGTGATGAACGGGTTCTCCATTTTGTCGCTGCATTGCCACGTGTTAATTTGATTGCCTTAGAACCTTTAGCATCAATCTTGAGGGAATAAAATATAATTATACGGAGGCTTTAAGATACTTTCGCGTCTGTTCCCTGCAGACATATTCGATCATCAATCGCCGACCAACTTCATTCGGCTTAAGTATCGCATTGCATGGATTTGGGCCGAGATGTGATCCCATCATTCAGCTCTCGGTGTGCAATAACAGTTTAAGCTCAAGATCATCCTGCGTCCTAATGAAACAAAAGAGAGGAGATGATTGTTGATATCTTTAAAGAAAACGCACCGCCATAATCTACGGCGCCTTCTGCAAAGAGCTTTTCACGACGCTCGTATGTCTGCCAAATTACCGCCCAGTTTTCCTCCATCAAATGCAGATGTTTACTGTTATTCTTAAATGAGGACGTACCACATTTCACGAGGCTATGAGAATCGTCTCCTTGCCTAAAGGTCTCCTCTGCCAGATAGTCCAATTTCAAACCCGCAACTTCCAATCGACCGATGGCGCAGGGATCATACGAGTTGTATTTTGTTAGACCCAGGGATGACGACTAGGTTACCATGGGTTGGAGAAGCTATATCGTCTGAACCGCGGGACATGGAGAACGAAGCACCCGGGATGAGCCATTGAGAAGAGTTCGCTGAGTTGAGCTGTTAATATAAGAACCAGAGGTTAGTCAGTGGGAGCAGTACTTTCAACCGAGTACCCTTGCGTCCGACCTTAGCAACAATAATAAGGTGATGGTGTGCATCTGATTGGGTTTTGAGAATATCTTTCGGGCCATGATTCCGTTGGCGATGGCTGTACAAACTATGAGCTGAGTTAATAGGATTGGACGAAATGCATGAAGCTCACATTTCACATTGACATACTAAGGCGAACAATCGTGGGTAGACGATCTTCATTTGCCTCGCTCCGCCTGTCAAAGCGACTAGGAACATGACAGAGCTGGATCTCTAAAGTGTCGGCCCCGAGGTTCGAGTAATCGAGCCGACTTCGAAAGTCAAAAGATATAGAATGATATAATTTGCCGTGATTAAGCCTCCTGAATGAGGAAGACCATACCAGAAATACTTAACCAAGCAATAGCCCCAGGATACCCAAGCACAGCCTGCTGCAGGCCAAGTGTTCGCCCAGTTGTTCTCAAGCTTCAAAAAGGATAACGAGGAGGGCAAGGCCTCAAGAAATCCTTATCTCCACAAAAAGGTCGCCTCAGATCATTCTTGGCACAACTTCATTGGAAATGTGCTTGCGTAATTCGATAAGGATGACCGGACCCAAGAATTGCCAAGTAATGCAGATTTAACTATCGGTAGTCTGCTACATAGCAAGGAAGCGACCTTACAGTCGTTAGCAAACCAAAAAAAAGCTGCCGTTTGAGCGGGTTATTCTCAAAACTCGGGGCTTGGCTCTGGTTACAGACTCGAGAGACAAAACTCCACATTTTATTTTCGGAGAAACCATTTTAGACGTGAGTAACTTCCTGGGAGAGCACAAGAATTTTTAGACCAGTAGTTGAGGGAGTTCACCTAAGAGTTATTCGAGAGATTGAGTCGATCTCTCGAATGATACTGGAGGCCCAAGTTTTATGCTCGGTGATAGAGAGGGAAGAAGAGGTTTGTAAATTATATCGGACCTCCGGTGGCAAGCAGGTGTAAACGAAGAAAATCTCTGGTTAGCTTGGCGCCGCTGTCTAACTGTAACCGTGACCGCCAATCACACCATGAGCAGTCGGTATCGGACAACCGAAAATTCTCTGCTTCCTCTATATAACTCTACCTCCTCAATTTCTTTCTTCAGGCTGCTTCCAGAATACTTTTGAGCCTAGCTCCCTCAATACCCGAACATACACCTTCAACAGACGGCAAACACAGCTGCCATGCCCGACGAAAAGTTAGCCAAGTCCAATCAGGTCATCGTGTCCACAACTGAGCCCTCCGATACCGGCAGCCAAACAGCAAAAGACGTCGAAAGGGCAGCACCTTCTCCAAGGTTGTCAAAGTGGCAGTATCTACAGCAGGACGTGGACCCCGCAGAGTGCACATGGCCTTTAACAGCCTTCTGCTTCATGACTGGTTTTACGTGAGTACTTCACTCAAGGTCCATCGGATAATTCTAAAGTGATGCACAGGGATGCTGTCTGTTTCTCGGCAATCTTTGTCTGGTGTGGCTTCCAAACTGGCAACTTTACTCAGGTATGTTTCGAACAAAAACTTCAGTAACTGACACTCAGAAAAACCTTCCAGCTTGCACTTGCACTCGCCAGGCTATGGGAAGGTCCTCGGGGCATGAGAGACTATATGTTCCACAAAGCTGACCAGCAAGCTCTCTGCTCGCTTCTCGCTTTCTTCCTTGGATCTTCACTAGGACGTATTGGGGACAAAGTTGGACCCCACAAACGAAGCTGGCTCATTGTTGCCAACTTCCTGGCAACGCTGTTTACAATGGCAGCTGCGCTGGCTCTCTGGAAGTCGGGTCAACCAAGCTTAGCTTTGGAGCGAGATCTTCCAGCGTGGACAAATGCCCTGACATTTGTTGGCATTGCGTTCATGAGTGCCGCTCTGGGAATCCAAGGTATCATGGGCAAGAGGATAGCTTCTAACTTCGGAACAACACGTACGTCTCATTCTGACTTATTTTTTCTGCTATCTCTAATTTCTTCAATAGTCGTGCTTACCACCCTCTGGATCGAGCTTATCAATGACCCCAAACTCTTCAGAATTAACCTCGTCAAGACCCGCGATCACAGAGCACTCGGAGCTTTTGCTCTCTTCTTCGGCGCTTTCGTCAGCCGAGCCATGCTTTTCAAGATTGATGCAGCCGGCGCTCTTGGTGTCGGTGTCGGCATTAGACTTCTCATGACTATCGGTTGGCTTTGGGTACCTGCGAAGAAGCCTGCTCGCAAGTAGTGCTTCGCCTACTCAATCTCCAGACATCCACCCCCTCGATCATCTAAAATCTCCTTCAGGTCGATCTTTATTCTAAGTTAATGTTCTGATCATTCCTTTCGTATACCGTATATAGGCTTAGCCTTTCGCATGACTCCTAGATGAACACGTAGACACCCAATCGCTTTCTGTATTGAAATTTTGTATACCTTTCTCGTCGCTCGTTATTCAGTAGATCTTGGAAATGTGGTAGAGATTGATGCTTTACTCTTGAATTCACTCAACAAAATATTTGCCTAATTCTGATCTGAATAGCTACCTTGATTATGCGACGAGTGCACGAAGTGTAGATCTCCTTGTCTCGTTGTCAGCACTGCAAACTCAGAGATGAAACCCCAAGCGTCTTTTCTCCAGCGTTCCACTCTGCAGGCAGCCTGTAACAGAAGTCATGTACATACGGCAAATCACGATCTTCGCTTCCGACAAGTTCGGCCGAATCTCACCGGAGATAAAGCTTGCGAATCATCGTAGCAAGTGTACATATTGTCTCCAAAGGAGTGTCCTAGCGAGATCGTACATAACGCTTATCCGAGCTGCACATATCTCATGAAGTTCAAAACGTTTGACAAGGGGTAGGTACTGTGTTACACTATTGCAAGCGGAGGTCACCATCAGCCACAATCATCCCACGAGCCCGATCACTTGCCAAAAACGGTATACCCGCCTCGAAGCCCTCAATTCTTTAGCATTTCTGGCCGTAAAAAGCTCAAACACAACACTTTGAAGATGCAAAAAGCTCTGATGAGAGTGGGATTCGAACCCACGCCCCGGAGGACCAGATTACGTAAGCTGAAGCTCACTGATTGGGTGTCAAACACCCTGGTCCTTAGTCTGGCGCCTTAGACCGCTCGGCCATCTCACCTTGCATTTGGACGAGAAATGACAATACAAGCGCTACCAATTAATGTCAGATGCTTTTATAACAATCTTATGCAGCTTCAGAATATTTCAGAACAATATTACTGTATAGATGATCCAACTATTGCTGCCAATGTCACACAGGTCGTGAATCTTCTCCTATGATGACACAGCTGCGAGGATCATCTCTGCCAGTGAAGAAAAGATCGTAGGTGGTGGTTGACATGAAAAGAGAATGGCCTTACGTCGAGGACTTTTCGCAGAAGCGCCGAGACCCAGGAAGCCGTACACCTTGTTCTTTTAACATGGACTTTATCTCGAATCCTGGGCTCCCGTGATTGGCGTCTCCGAGTCCACGGGAAACAAAATTCACGTTCAGTAGCAGCGCAAGAAGTAAAAACCCATGGGTAAGACTGGAAGATGGTCTAAAAGTTTGAGCTGCTTCTTCATCTCAGATCTTGTCGAACTTGCCTCTAACTAATGCTTGACGCACATCTAGTAGCCGTTGTTCGGAAAGACATGTCAAATCTTGCTACTGCCACTTAAAGCCTAACGCAGCTGGCAAACGCCGAAACTTGTGCTTTTATGGCAAGAAGCGATTTTATGGATTACTGATAGTTACTAGTCAAGGAAAGATAAGTATGTATGTTCCACTCATCTGCAGATATCAATCTGTCAAATGCGTTGCAAATGCTGACTGCGAATGGCAGACTCTCACTGAACTTGGTGAAGGAATATGAGATAAGATTTCCTTCACCTGTCGCGTCACAGCAACCAAAAGAGAGCGAAATGTAAGTATGAAAGATACACTGGTCGTAAAAGACCTCGATATATATACATTGATGGTAGATGAAATTGATCCACTTGGCGCTTGCCTTACTAGTAGCTCTATGAACACTTATATAGTAGACTATGAAAGGTTCGGGGACTTAAATCTAACAGCCTGAAGGAATTAGATATATTGGCGGATGGTCAAGTTCTAGTCTTACACAACGGGCGTGACGCTTTGTAAACTGGAGAGAATGCCCACAGCCGTTAAACCCTCATAAACGCTTATGCTTCGGCATTTGAGACGAAATAATAACTTGCCGAAATCAAAAGATTTTCAGTTAGAAGCAAATCGATAGTGAGCACCTATTTTGGCACAGCTGTACCTTTATCGCAACCCCAGGAATAATTAACTAGAAGTCAAAATTTCAGAGGTTCGGGAAATAGCTGTCTCGAGAAGCCATCGAGGTGACTTCCAGCCAAGTGGCACATGGTCGTCCTCTTGGAGCTCGAAGGGTTATAGACGGATTAGCGTTGGGAGAACCGGCCCCGAGCGATCATGAGCTTGGCGTTTGAATGTACAAGGGTGCTTGATCTATTTAGCCTGCCTGGAGAACGTTAATCCTTCTGATATTGTCCGTAGATACCTACCGTAAATTAGCCGCCAAGCGTGGAGTTTGCCTATAAAATCTACGGTTAGCACTTTCTTCTTTGTAAGCCTCTCAGCCCTTCTGTATACATTCGAAGGTATGAAGCAAACACTTTGATTGGGATGGGATTCGTTTTGAAGAAAATGTAGATGCTTGCCCGCCTTTCGATTGCTCTCGCTCTGGCAGCTACTGGGTTAGCCCAGGTAGTTGTACCTGCTGGCTACCGCACTGCAACGATCAGCACCGCCTGGAACGATAAATTCGTCCTCCAACCACAGGCGCCAATCAAGAGTGGTAGCGCTGTAGTCCTGTTTGTCCACAATCCATGCCTTCGTATTATTTACTGAATTATTTATCGTTATCTGTTTCAGTTACAGCGTCAATAATCACATCGAACAGCAATGGTATCTCAAAGACGGTAGTACAAAGGTCCAGTTGGCGAACACCACACTCTGCCTGGATGCTGGCTCCAGTGAGTGAAAAGAACGCTTAAGAGATCGTCAACTCATCATCCTTGTAGATCACAACAACGGCAATCCCCTCACAGTTACAACTTGCTCTGACACTCTGGCATCGCAAAAGTGGCAGTATAACACAGACAGCCAGATAGTTCTTGACCAAACCGGCACGAGTAAGTTCTGTTTCTGATCAACAATCGTCAAGGCTAATACTCTCATAGAACTCTGCGCTGACCTGTATATGGGGACTCTCCAGAACAACACCAGGATCGTCATCTGGAACTGTATCGCCGGCGACAAGAACCACATCTGGAAGACCACGAATGTTACTGTTCCTGTAGTACCTCCGGTGACCACTCCCCCTCCTCCTTAAATGATCGGAAATTGGAATCGAGTCATAGCAGAAGCGCAAGGTTCCGACTCTGAGCAGTTATTTTCCTAATAGATAAAACGAGTGTATTCATTCCAAAAACCAATGATTTCATTGTACGATCATCGAGTGAGTTGAAGATCAATTTCGAGGGTCATAGCTGCTATCAAGGGTAACTCTAGCCTTTGTTGTTCCTTCCTCAAGGCGAATCCAAGTTTCTACTCCCGCCTTGGGGTCAGGTGTGCCGAATAAAAAATTTCTTACACCATGACCCCAACCTTCACTATCATAACCGCCATAACCAGAATGTTTATCGAAGCAAAATATGATCTTCTTGTTCGGTTCTCGTGCGCACCATTCATTCCCATGGTCTAGCAAATATCAGCTCAAACAAGGCGAAGAGACATCAATAACCATCCGTACCATGACCGGAGACAAGAGCATGAAGATTTGGAACATTGGCAACCAATGAGTCCCAAAACGGGCTATCATTTCCAACACTTGCAGAGTCCTGCACTGATCCATTGCCTAAAGTATCGGCTAGATAGTGTAAATACGCAAAGTTAGTACTTTAGTATCTGGCCGAAGTCTCCTCTCCTCACCGTTCATCCCTGGATTTTTATCAGAACTTACGCTCGATTGCAAAGCTTGAATGGCATGTCTAGTGCAATGCTCAAGCCATGGCCCACAGCTGTAACGGGTGATTGCTCACGGTGGTATATGTACGAAAGCCACTGCTGCCCTCGAATCAGCCGGACCCCAAGCTGCCTCCATTTTGATCGTTTCGGACTGGATCCAGTCACCAACCGAGGCGTCAACCCAGTCAGGTACCCCCACGGTCGAATTGGGTTTGAGATGGAATCCACCTATTATACGTAGATTTAGATTTGAAACTTGAGACACTGCTAGAAGCGTACCGCGAGAGTCAAAGAACCACAAAATGAGAACTGGCGCTTTATCACTTTGTTTCTTGTAAATCTTGAAGTCAACCGAGTAAGTACCAACAAGACAGCTTGAATGAATCGAAACTCACAGGAACCCAATAGTTGGCTGGGCCACTGTCTCCACCAACGCCATCGGGTGCAGCACGAACGTAAGTGAAAGGAGATACTTTCTGCAGATGCGCAATCTCTTCAGCATGCGTGATATTGGGCTCGTTATCATGATTCTGAAAACACCAGTCAGGATATATCGGACTACGTTACAAGCTGACTTACCCCAAATGTTACGGCAAAAGGTTGCTTAGCCGCATTGAAAGGACCAGCTATTTGATCAAGCAGAAGAGTGACATTCTCGCGGAAAGTATCTGAGGAAGGTTTAGTATCACTTCTCTCAAAACATTAGGGTACATTTTTATTTACTTTCTCCAGTGACGAGATCTCCGTTAATCACCCTGGACAGAGATCTGTTATTAAAATCTAAGCAGATAAAAGATAGTACATACGCGAAGTCAGGTTTTTCGTCTGCCAGAATGCGCGCCATAAGCGCAACGCTGCTTTTATCATGAGCTGGGCCCCAGTCTTCCCACGGATTTTCACCAAAATGAAGGTCGGAGAACACTGTAAGCTTGAAGGTATTGTTCGATTTGAAGGATATGCGAGGCTTCGCGGGATAAGGGTTCAAATCAGCAATCGTCGGCTCTCCTAAGCTTAAAAGTGAGTTTTTATGATGAAGTACGCAAAGACTCTACGAACCTGGCGTAGCGGCGCCAAGCGCTCCATAGGCCGTAGCGAGAATAACAAACAATTTATTTGCTGCCATTGTGATCTTTCTGTGGTAGCGCCCAGGATACTTGCCCGAGCAATAAGTGTCGCCTCGATGCCTTTATACTTGCAGGCAATTCGGGGCATGTGAGACTAGTCCATATGGAGGTGTTATTGACGACATCTTCCGTACGTCAGATCCCGAATAGAACGTAGACTTCTGCAGCATGTATCGTAGCAAGTAGGGCCACATCGAAGGGTCACCAGGGCTCCGTGGAGCCCACGTTCGTCGCGAATTGGAAAGAATTGCTATTGTTAGGCATTTCGCCAAAGCAAGTTTCTTCTTCGATGCGTCGGGCTCAAAGAGATGGTAAGAATATGTCAAAATCATGTCGATATGCGAGGCTTCTTGATTCGAGACAGATTAAGAAACAAAGTTTCTTTTAATGTACATCAACGAGACATCTAGTGTTACATCCGACGCGAACACTCAACTTTCATCCTTCCTGGCCCTTTGTCGATATGAAGACGTCAAACTATTCACCCGATCCAGATACAGCTATTAAAAACAGTCTAAGACTGAGCAATGCTCATCAAGCTTCCAACAAAGGTCAAAATCTATCGAAACAGTTAGGTTTGCCCAGGTGCTCCAGGAGTTACGACTTACGAGGCGCGGACGAATATCGACGATATCTTCTGGAACCAAGAAAATGAGAGCGTTCATCTTCCTCGCGATTGAAATAGCGAGTTTGGCTGCGAGACGTCAACAGTTGTTGAGACCGATCAGAATGAGCGATTTATCTACGTACCGTTTTGCCTTCGCTCTTCGTAATCACCTGTCTCTACGACAGGAACAACCAGCGCTGGATCCACGATGCCCGGACGAATGGCATCAAGAAGGTCGAGGAAGAATAGTCCAGTCGTGATAGCTGGATCCTTGAACGATCGGATAGGACGAACACCCGGTTTGGCTCCAGTTGCGGTGGTGTTTGCCCATCTGAGCATATCCTGATCGGTTGGAGGCCGGCCAGTCTTCGAAAGTGAGGAGAGCGTTT